GGCCACTCCCCCCCCCCCCCGCCCACCAGTCTCTTCCCTGCATCAGGTGGCCACACGCTTCCAGCAGTGGGGGATGCGGCGAATCCCTTGCAGGAGTGGGAAGGAAGGGAAACTCCCTCCCCAGTAGGGTTGCCATATGGTTTAACCAAAAATACTGGACACATACACACGGAAAAAAAGCCACTGGGGAAAAAATTCTATTGAGAAAAAAAAAAAGAGGAAAACCAAAGTTGTTGAGCCCCCCAAGTTGTTAGGCAAAAAAATTTTTAAAAAACAGTGTGGCCTCTTTAAGAAATGCTTTCGAGGCTTTTTGGCCCTAAGAGGCTGCCAGCAGCCATCCGCCATCTTGTCTCCCTGATCCAGGCCAGACAGCTCCCCTGTGGAACCCAATAAGCACCTGGGATTTTCACCTCCAGGCCGGGAAAAATCAGAAAATATTGAACATTTTAGGTGTCCGGTATTTTTTGATTTTTTTTTTACCGGACAGGAGGCCACAGCTGGGCAAAGGGGGTTTTGTGTGAAGGTTTTTTTTGTTTGTTTTTTGCTTCTCATGTTTGTCCAGCCCCCAATTGATATCTCGGTGGGTTAGTGGCCCCCGACGCCCAAAAAGTTCCCTGCTCTATAGCTTGAGGTAAAAGCCAGCAGGGTCTCAGCACAAACTCATTCTTTCTATAAGAGGTCTAAGTGACAGTACTTGGACAGTACACCACACCCTGAAGGTGTGTGGGTTACATACCTCCCCTAACTGAGGAAGCGTGTCTTGAACTAAAGGTAGCTGGCTGTAGAGCACACTAGGGCTGTGTCTAGACTGCAGAGTTTTTTCGAAAAGAGTAGCCTTTTTTCGAAAAAACTTCACCTGCATCTAGACTACAGCCGTGTTCTTTCGAAATTAAATTGAAAGAATGCGGCTTTTCTTTCGATACACGAGGAAGAACGCCTTTTTTCGAAAGTGCTCTTTCGAAAAAAGGCGTTCTTGAATGCAAACAAGGCTTTTTTGGAAGAGAGCATCCAGACTGCCTGTGTGCTTTCTTTCGAAAAAGCGGCTTGCTTTTTCGAAAGTACTGCTTGCAGTCTAGACGCTCCTTTTCGAAAGTATCTTTCGAAAAAGCCTCTTTCGAAAGAGGCTTGCAGTCTAGACGTAGCCTCATTCTCTCTCTCTGTAAGTGGTCTCTCTGACACTACATAGGAGAATGAACAACACCCTGAAAGTATGAGGAAGATATTGTTAAAAATTAAATGAGAAAATAAATTACCTTGCTGCTCCATTGAGCTGCCAAAGGATGGTTTTAAATGTTTATACAGGTAAAGGAAGTGTCATTTGAATGTTGACTAGCTGATGGATGTAATTTAATCGGGCATCTTTTTTTTACAATATGCTAAGCAAGATGCTAATTGAGAGAATAGGTGTGCCTGGTTCTTCTGTGTCACCCCGGCCACGTCATAAAGAGCCTGACCCAAAGAAAAATTGAGAAGTCAACGTGATGTGTGGCTTCATAGAACCCGTAAGAACCAGATTCAGGCCCAGCGAGAGCCGTGCCAATAGTGAAATTGCTACAAAGAATTTGAAACATGTATATAAAAATCCCTGTTTAGCCAACCAGTGATATTGAAACAACAGCCCTCACTAGGAGCAGCTTTTAGCAAGTTGGTAACCATGGACAGTCTGTGACTAAGGGTGTGTCTAGACTACAGAGTTTTGTCGACAAAAGTGGACTTTTGTCGACAAAACAAAAAATCCCTGTTTAGCCAACCAGTGGTATTGAAGCAAGTTTAGGAGCAGCTTTTAGCAAGTTGGTAACCATGGACTGTCTGTGACTAAAAGTGTGGCACTGAATTGGGGAGTGTAACCTGGTGGGACTCACTGCCACGGGCACCTCCTGCTGGTTGCTTTGGGAATTAGCTCTGCAGCCCTGGAGTGCTCCCTTTTAGCTGGGGTCTCACCCGTGGTTACCTCATTTTCCTCCACCTCTGGGTTAGGACCCATGTCCTTTCCAGACTGTGGTGTCCTCCCACCTGGGTACTGCCCTACCACAGTGCCCCCACACTCTGGGGTTCTCTCCCTCTGGGAGCCTGCAAACCCCTGTGCCCACCTTGCCTCAGTGACCCAGCCCGCAAACCCCTGTGCCCACCTTGCCTCAGTGACCCACTACCAGCCTCAGGGGCGAACTGCAGTCTGAAATGGCCACTCATCATTGGCAAGGGGTCTGGACTTGCTGCCTTTGCCTATCCTGGTGGCCCCTCTGCAGCGCTAGTAGCCTCAGGCCTTGCTTCAGGCTCTGAAACCCAGGAGCTTGCCTGGCCTGAGTTTCCCCAGCTCTGCCTGCCTTTCCTCTGCCCTGCTCTAAGTCAGGAAGCATCTAGCTTCCCCTGCAGCTAGTTCCCTTCTGCTCCCCAGCTAGAACAAGAATGAGTCCAACTCCTCCCCTCCAGGAGCCTTTATTTATTCGCCCCTCTTCTGGTCCCTAATTGGCTAGTTTCTGCATCAGTCACCAGCTTTCCCTTCTCAGCCCTCTCCCAGGGCCAGTGTGGGGCAGACGTCCCATGACAGGCTGCTCTCAGATCACTCCAAAATAGCTTTCTTATTCATCTGCCACTAACTGCTGCACATTCAATAAAAGCTATTTTGACACTTAACTATTTATCTGAAATGCATTTGGGTTCAATTCCAGCACCTATGCCAACCCCAGGTAGCTGGGAATGTAGGCTGGCAGAGGCAATCCTCATTCTAGCAAAACAGGCATGTGCAACCTCCTCGCACAGAGGGAAATTAAAGGACCCTTATGTTACAGGTTCAGACCACCTCTGTCTGTCCCCTTTTCCTTTGTATAAGCTGTCAGAGAAATCAGGATTTTCAGCTATCCTATGCAGAAGCCCCTAGCTTCCAGCTTCTCTCCCTGCACAGCAGGACTCTACCAGATGTGTCACCAAGGCAGCCTGTGCTCCCACAGTGGAAAGGGCTAAATGATTGTCTTAGCAGTAAACACCGTTTTTAATTCCGGAGTCACAGCCCGTGTTTGTTTGTTTGTTTGTTTTCCCTTATTACTCGACTGACATGTTAACCGCTAGCCTAGAAAGCCTGATCAGCATGCTGGCCTTGTGAGCTCTAGGAAAATATCCCAATTTACATTTTTCAGTTCGGTCATTCTGCTACTTTTCAGTTCTGGGTGTAATCTGAGCAGGGGAATTCCGCAGAGCCACATTATAAGGTCAGGGTAAAGACTTCCTTCCAAACATTAACAAATCAGTGGAATCCGATGGGCATGCATCAGCCAGGCAAAATTCACACTTGTTTTGTCGGAGCCTAGATGGATGGATGGATGGATTATTTTGCAACTCAATGGGGCAACTCAAATGTAGAACGTTACCTGGGTCCATCTGTGCAGGAGCAGTCTTGCTTATAGCGATAGTGGGTACAAAGTGTCAGACAGAAATGTGATTTTCAGTCTGAATGGTTTTTCGGTAGCAAACCCATCCAACCAACTGCAAAGCAGAAGAAATTGACTTCTGTAAGTGATATTGGGTACTAGCAGTGCTAGTTTTCCCACATGGCCTTGCTTGGTTTGCTTCAGCTATCACTTGAGAGCCCATCTATATGAATAAAAGGGCACTGTAGTCACCCGTCATGATATCTGCTGAACTACTAGGATTTTCCTGTAAATTTACCTTTCCTATGGTTGCAAGCAGATAAATTCCAAACTGTTACATAATAATGACAAGCAATCCAGAATCTAGTAGCAATACAGGCTGAACCTCCCAAATCCGGGACACTCTGGTCTGGCAACATCTGTGATCCGGAAGGCCATGGATGTTGCTGGACCAAAGAGCCCCAGGAGAGGGAGTCAGCTGGGAGAACATGGGGTCCCGGCTGGGCCTGCAGCAACTAGGCAGGGAAACCCTGGTGTCAGTGGGGCCAGGCGGCATCGGGAGGCCTCTGCCCCAGCTTAGAAACCCCCTGCGATAGAGGTATCAGATAGCTGGAGAGCTCCTGGCAGTGAGGCTGGCAG